CTATATGGAGGTGGTGGTTTTTCTATAGTGATTTTCATTGGTTTAATAGGACTTTTTGACTCATAATAAAAATATTCACCAAAATTTTCATTTTCCACCTCATCTTTTTCTATTTCAACTTGTTGTTGAACTCTTTCTTCTAATTCTTTTCCACTTCTCAGTTGATTAGCTTTAATTTTCTCCTTGTTCTGATCCTTAGTATTTACTTCAACATTACTAGACAATGTTCCTGGAGATCTATTGCTAAGTGCAGTAACAATACATCCCAATTGAATTTTCATGCTTCTGATTCCATCTCTTTGACTCTGTAATTGACTTTCCATTTGCAATATCAATTCTTCGATTGATAAATTTTTTCTCCTTGCTTTGCAAATAATGAAATCCTGGGGGGAAATAAGGTTTATAAGCTTGATTTCCTTGATTTTTGGAGCTTTCCACTAGGTTCGCAGCATTGTTTCCTCATTGTGAATTTGCAGCATTCGAGTTATTATTACTCCAACTAAAGTTTGGATGATTCTTCTAACCAGGATTATAATAATTGGCATAAGGATTATCAGAACGATTGTTTATTGCATTTAAAGTCTCATAAGAATATTGTGATTCTATCATTTGTCCAAAGGAGTTCTCTTCAAGCACAGGTGCTGTTTGAGAATAATTCATTCCATTTTGATCTATCTTCTTCAATATAACAGCTATTTGAGCAGCTAATATATATATATTGCATCAGAATTATGAATATTGGCTACTCTTTTTGGATTTACCCTTTTTTTGGATCATTGAAAATTATTAGTAGTCATCTCTTCAATTAATGAATATGCTTCATCGGGCCATTGAAAATTATTAGTAGTCATCTCTTCAATTAATGAAGAATGGTTTTGACATGGTTTTGACATTAATGATCCACCAATAACAACGTCAATTATCGATCTAAGAGATCCAACCAATACATTATAAAAAGTTTGAATTATTAACCAATTTGGCAATGCATGGTGTGGATACTTTCTAAGGAGACCTTTAAATCTTTCGCAGGCTTCATAAATTGATTCCCCTTTAAACTAACAAAAAAATGTAATATCATTTTGAAGCTTAGCATTTTTTTATGGTGGGAAATATTTAGATAAAAATTTTTGTGATATATCTCCCCAAGTTTTGATAGATCCAAGTTCTACTGAGTTTAACCATATCTTAGATTTATCCCTCAGTGAAAAAAGAAAAAGTCTAAGTTTAAAAACATCATTCGACACTCCATCATATTTAAATGTAGCACACAATTCTAGAAAACTAACAAGGTGTAAATTGGGATCTTTAGTTGGTGTTACCCCAAACTGATTGTTTTGTACAATTTGGATAATAGCAGGTTTAAGCTCAAATGAATTAGCAGCTACAACAGGGTTTTGTATACTCAAATGAATTTCATATACTGTAGGATAAGCATAATCCCTTAAAGGTCTCTGATGATGTTCATTTTCATTTCCAACATTACTTAAGTTTCAAGCCATTTTGCTGGAATGACTTTTCTCTTTTTATTGTTTTCAAAATTTTTAACAGTTCTTTTGAAAAGAAATGAACGGATCCTCTAGCACTAGATTCAAGTTCTCCCTGCACTGATGAATTGATTCCCTTACAATGTTCTCTAAAAACCTGTCACCAATCACTCAAGAAAAGTAGAAAATGATGCAAACCCTAAATCTCCTTAGGCATCCTTGGCTTCTCTTCCTTCTCTCAAGTTTTTTGTCGACTCGTACTCCAATTCTTCATCAAGCGTTCTTTGTTTGAACTGCTCAACACCCCCTTTAACTCCTCAATTCGTGTGCAATGAACTGCAAAAACTATCTCGGGTAGTTCAAGCGCTAGAGGGGAGTGCCTTGGTGCTCAGAAGTTGCTACCTAGCTGCCAAGCTCTCTGTCTAGTTACTAGATTCTAGCACCTAGGAGCCACATAAGTGGTACTAAGGTGCTCACCCAGAGTCTGCGCCTAGGTACCAGGCATGCTGAACTCATCCTTGCTTCATTTCAATTCCTTTTTACTCCATTTCAGTTCCACTTCGCTCCATGTGTCCTACTTGTTGTACCTGCAAGAAAAACCCAAAAATACTATTATTTAAAGTACAATTTCATCAAAGAAAAGTGCAAAAAACAAAAAAAATTAAGCATGCTTTATGATACATCATCCGACTTGAAGAAAACTGAAATGTTACAACATCAATAACACCTAAATAACACCTTAATAACACCAAAATAACACGACAATAACAATGTCAGTAACACTCTAGTAACACCTCAATAAAACAAAAGCATTAAGTTGTAATAACACCTAAATAATACTAGAATAACAACATAATAACACTACAAAAAAAAAACATAATAACACCACAATCTCACCTCAATAACACTCCAATCCTACCTCAATAAAACCAAACTTTGCACATCCAATTACACCTAAATAACAGAATAAAAATACTATAATAACATAACAATCCCACCTCAATAACACCGCAATTCCACCTTAATAAAACTGAAACATTACACCTTTAATTGCACTTAAATTACACTACAAAAAGCCATAATAACACCACAATCTCACCTCATTAACGCCACAAAAATACTAAAATTCAACTGTAATAACACTAAATTCTCATAATAAAACTAAGTATGCGTTAGGATACATCATCCCACTTGAAGAAAATTGAAAATTTACAACATCAATAACACCTAAATAACACCTAAATAATATAAAAATCCCACAAAAGTAACACCACAATAACGATGTCAGTAACACTCTAGTAACACCTCAATAAAATGAAAGCATTAAACTGCAATAACACCTAAATAACACCAGATTAACAACATAATAGTATCACAAAAAAAAAAAAAAACATAATAACACCATAATATCACCTCAATAACACTCAAATCTCACCTCAATAAAACCAAACATTACACATCTAATTACACCTAAATAAGACCATAAAGATACTAGAATAACACAACAATCTCACCTCAATAACACCACAATCCCACCTCAATAAAACTGAAATATTACTCCTCTAATTACACTACAAAATGCCATAATAACACCACAGTCTTTCCTCAATAGCACCAAAAAAATACCACAATTCAACTCCAATAACACTATATTCCCCCAATAAAACTGAAACATTACATCTCTAATAACACCACAATATTGGTAGAATAATACCACAATCCCACCAGAATAACACCATAATATCACCTCAATAACACTCCAAAAGCACCTAAGAAAAGCCAAAATATTAAGCTCCAATAACTCCTAAATAACACTAGAATAACAATAGAATAACATCACAAATAAAACAGAATAACACCACAATCCCACCTCAATAAAATTGAAACATCACACCTCCAATTATACCTAAATAACACCACCAAAATACCAGAGTAACACCATAATCCAACTGCAATAACACATAATATCCTCCCAACAAAATCGAAATATTACTGTTCTAATAACACCATAATAACAAAAAAAAATTCTAGAATTATACCATCACAAAAACACAATAATAACACATAAATATCATCACAATAACACCATAATAACACCATAGTCCAAAGCAACAACACCAAATTCCCACCCCAATAAAACCGGAACATTAGCTCCAATAATACCAAAATTATACCTCATAACCACAAAAATTTGAGAATAACACCATAATAACACCTAAATAATACAACAATAACATAAGAATAACACAAAAATAACACAAGAATAAACCCACAATAACACATAAATAACACAAGAAGAACTGCAATAATACCACAATATAATCGCAATCCCTTCTCAATGACACCACCACATTATTTGGGTGTATTTTTTGTGTTATTTTGGTGTTATTGCGGAATTATCATGGTGTTATTGTGGTCTTATTGTGATGTAATTTGTGCATCAATATAGTGTTTTTGTCAAACAAATGTGAAGTTGTTGTCAAAAAAATGCGGTGTTACATCGGATCATATGAGCAATGCAGGAATACTATATGATGCAACACTTTGTCTTTTACCATAAACTTTAGAATGCAAGTACAACCACAAATAAAATTTCCTGGATGACTTTTGACGACTCATTGGCTCATCGGTTTCCTTGTGTTCTTTTATTGTTCTATATTAGCTTGCTTCTAAAGATAAAAAGAATTACATGAGTTCCCACCCAATAATCCAAAATCTATGTGCAAAGCTTGTTTCAAAAAAAAACCTAAATATTACACAACTTATATGACAATAAAGCAAGACTTCGAACGTATCTAGACGGGCGAACGACGGTCTTAAGGATTTTAAACGGACAAATCCATAGCTGCCGGAGTCACGTAATGTGAGACTCTAATCAATGATTAATGAGATTGAAAAGGTGCACAAAAGAGTTATGTTCTCGAAATGAATGGTTGAATGTTATGATTCGACACGTAGCATTTTGTTTTTGAAACAGTGAGTTCGTTTGAGCTATGTCATGTGATAAAATAAAGCGTTTTCCACCTCTTGGGGCTGAGTAAAAATAATATTTTTTTATCCGACCACAAAATTTCAGTGGTGTGCCAGACTTAGAGAAATATTTGCGTACGTCTAACGTACGAAGAGTTGCGTACATCGATAGGTTATACAGAAGGTATTGAAAGGTTATATCCGCACTATACCCTCTATAATATCTTTGTAATCTACCTATAAATTGCTTGTAACTTTTAAATATATAAAAATAGAAACACAAAATTTATTAAATATAAGATAAAATATAACCCGCCAACGCCTCCCTCTCTGAACAGACACCCGGTAAGATATTTCTCTCGGACTCGACATAATATCATTTCACACAATCGTCCATGGAAAGTCGACTCTCTCACCGCGTGATGGTTTGAATAGCTGGAGCTGAAGCCATACATCGCTCCTACGGCGAAGAAGGCCAGGGGCTGAGAAAGTCAAAGCCAGAGCGTCCGAGATCCAAATTCCATAGCAAAACCTCCGGCCATCGTCATGATCTGCGACACCGGTTCACCTCCTAACGCAGCCCGCCTCCAGTCCGATACTGCTCAAGCGGATCCCATATCGATCGACCTCCAAAGTCCTAATACAAAGTCTCTTACTCCCGACAAACCGCCGGCGATCTCAGGCGGAGAGCTCACTCTCAGCTATCTTTGCGATAATCCCAAGCTCAATATTCCCGAGAGGGAGTCCGCCGCCGTCGCCACCACTTCTGCTGCTGCTGGATGCAGTGATCTCATCCTTTCGCTGGAGAAGTCCCAGAGGTTGCCGCAGCCACCATTGGAGGCGGCGGCTGCGGCGACGAGGAACGGTGGGTTGAGAGGGATTTCCTTCAGCTGAGGGGTCTCACTGGAAGTAAGAGGGAGGGGGCGGAGCCCGTCAAGCCCGACGGACACGAGAAGAAGGTAAAGATTGAACCCCTCAACTTAACCCTAGCCCCGCCAGATCTCTCTCTTTCGCTCAATTCGTCCAATCCCTTGCCGAATGCCCTCCCTCCGATACCTACGCGCTCTGACACCACCCCCGCCGCCGTCGCCGCCGCCGCTGCCTCCACTCCTGCTTTTAATCCCGTATCCCAAGCAAGGACTTTTAGCGGCAATACCCGCGCTACTAATTCAGAGGATTTCAACCCGTCTTTGTCATATTCATGCTCCGTTCCCTTCTCCCACAACCCTAGCTGCTCCCTGACCCGCAACTCTACCGAGAATTATGACGTGTCGAGGGATAACGATCAGATGTGGTATTGTGGAGCTGGGGAAGGGACCAATGGCTCCGTTCATAGCCGTTTCAGGCCAGTAGGTGATGGAAATAGCATCACTTTTTCGAATCACAGCGGTTTTGCTCACCTGGGTGGAAATAACAAAGATACCAATAACAACAATAATAGTTTATTTAAAGCTAGCAGCATTGCCGATGATATCTCATTCTACCCAACGGAACTGCCTGCTAGGCAGGGGAGAGTTCATGCTGCCACTGTAAGTGCTGAAAGTGGGAGGAATGCCATGCTTACTAGGCCAGATAGGGTGTTGAAAGAGATTGTTTCAGAGTCAGTTCTTCTTATGGCTCAGAGATTGCATGAATTACCAAGCAATTCGGTAGAGACAGTAAAAGAATATTTGAGGAATTTGATGGGCTCGTCTGATAAGGAGGAGTTCAGTAGTCTCCAAAGGAAGCTAGAGAGGCGGTCTGATCTCACCTCTGAGAACCTTTTAAAGTCTCACAGGGTGCAGCTTGAAGTAATGGTTGCTATAAAAACTGGTGTCATAGGTTTTTTGTCTTTAAAGATCCGCATCCCCACTACTGAGTTGGTGGAGATATTCCTATTGACGAGATGTAAGAATCTTAGCTGTAAGAGCTTGTTACCTGTTGACGACTGTGATTGCAAGATATGCACAAACAATAAGGGCTTTTGTAGTGCTTGTATGTGCCCAATCTGCTTTAAATTTGATTGTGCCTTGAACACCTGCAGTTGGGTTGGCTGTGACGTTTGCTCACATTGGTGCCATGCAATTTGTGGGATTCAGAGGAATCTCATAAAGCCTGGACAAAGCTTGAAAGGAGGTGGCACAATGACAGAAATGCAGTTTTATTGCCCTGGATGTGACCATGCTTCTGAAATGTTTGGCTTTGTCAAGGAAGTTTTCATGTGCTGTGCAAAGGGTTGGGGGCTTGAGACCCTGATGAAGGAACTGGACTGTGTTAGGATGATCTTCCATGAAAGTCAAGATCTTGAAGGGAAAGAATTGGAAAGGAAGGTAGATGAGATGCTCAACATGCTAGGAAAGAAGCAAATTTCTACATTGGATGCATGCAATGGCATGCTGCACTTCTTCAAATGTAAGTGTTTTAACTGTTTCCCTTTGCAAAAGCTGGCACTGCTCTTATTTTTATCTAACTTGCTATTTTGCTTATGGATTTCAAAGGAAGGTATGCTCTTACCTTAAATATCTATTTAATCTTTCATTATTCTTTTCTTATAATTATTATGATATGTGTGGCTTTGCAATTTTGTTTTTTGTTGTCCTTGTGATTTATTTAGTTTGTATGGATTTCTTGATAGTTGTATTTGTCAGTTGAATTTTGAACTTGTAAGTTATTTTAATTTTTTTTTATGTCAATATATGAGGATTATCTATCAATTACTAGTCAAACTTTTTACTGCACGTAGAAACTATTCCGCATGTTTCTTGTTCACATCAAAGCTGTCTCTATCATTAACGGGTAACTTTGTCCAATGATTTGAAATTTTATCAACACGTGCTTTTTGCTTGGAAGATTATACAAAGTGACATGATATGTTGTTTCAGTATTATGATAAGTTACTTGCTGTTTTGCTTATTTCTATTTGGATATTTTTGTTCATGCTTTTTAAAAGAGAATAAGCATTGTCCCTCCTATCTTATTATGAGTGATATTGCGCCAAGTTTGAGCTAGTCAGGCTCCACTAAATCTTGAATCAAAACTATGACTTAGAATTTTGCTTGAACTTGACTTGAAAACAAAATCATTATAGCTGATGTAACTAAAAATTGATCTTAATTTGGGTTGAATCAAAATTTTTTTAAGTTAGGTATGTACATGAATACAAGTATTATATCATGTATGACAAGCATGTGCACACACACATTATGTTATATTCATTATATATTTTATATAAAAAGTTATTTCGAATCAACATGAACTATATTTGAGCAGAAGGGTGAAATTGAGCTTGAGTTGGAATCCGTTTTGATCTTAGAATGTAGCTCAAAATTGGCTTAAAATCAAGTCAAGTCAAATTTCAAACTATTTTTCAGCTTAGTTTTGAGTTTCCGCTCTATAAAGTTAGATTTGGAGTAGTGATTATTTGTTAAGAAAAAAATTACTTAGCTATACTGAATTAACTATATGATCAAATATCACTTGTGGATTTTAAATTTTGATCAATTACTTATATATTTTAGGTGATACAATCTTATATAGCTCATTTGATACAACTGATTATTGCACACTCCACGACATATTTTGTAGCATGTGCAAAATAAATTCTAATTCCTACTAGATTATTTAGGTCATGGTTATTATTTAAAATTGCACAATCTGAGGAGCGCCTTGATACCAACCTTAGTGCAATTATGAAGAAAAAAATGATTTGATGTGTACTTCTCGAGCAGCTCGGGCAAGGCATATGCCTTAAATTGGTCGAGGCACACCTCAAGCCCGCCTTGCCTCAATTCTTCTAAGGTGTGTGCCTCTCGGGCTTAGTATTTTTCCTCCAATTTCAGCTTGTTTAAATATGAATCGAAGCTGCAGTTACCTCTCCCAAGTAAAGCTTCCCAACATTGTCTCGTGTTGCTTTTGCTACTTGCAGCTCGAGCATTGTCGCCGTTACTTTTATCGCCAGCATCATTGTCGCCATTTTCACCACCACCATCAACATCGTTATAGTTTCTTCCACTACAACGATCACCTACTTCTGTTATGGCTACCTATTGCTCCTGTTGTAGCTACCGTCATTTGTTACTCTTATTACCACCACCATTAGCAGCTCTTGTTGCCACCACCGTCCCATGTTGCTCCGACTATTGATTATTTTTTGTGTTCTTATTTTGACCTATGAATGTTATTATATTGATTAGACAATCAAAATGAGAGGTTTGCTATGTTAAAATCATCTGATATCTTACTTTGACATTCAACATTACTTTTTTTTCTTGTTTTATATTTTTATTTGTGCAATTTTCTATATGATATTTTGCAGCATGTGTATTTTGTTATTTCATATAAATACAATGTCACTTATTACCATGATAGAATGTTAATTTTTCTTTAATGCACACGCGCGCGCGCACGCGCGCGCTCACGCACGCACTTACTTACTTACTTACTTACTTACTTACTTACTTACTTACTTACTTACTTACTTACTTACTTACTTACTTACTTACTTACTTACTTACTTACTTACTTACTTACTTACTTACTTACTTACTTACTTACTTAGCTAGCCTCAATAGCCATTTGCGCAATTTTATACATTGGTATGTGTTGCCCCAGATCTAAATTAACTAACAAAGCATATTAATGATTTTGGAATTAAAATTTTGAGTTCTACTGGCATTTTGATCAAAGAATAGGACAAGGACATTGTTTAGCAACCATCTGAATGGATTTATGTCTATTGCTTTTAAAATTCTGTTACGAAGCAAACCAACAGAATTTTATGAATGTAAATTTTAGAAGCATTAGAGTAGAAATTAAAAGAAATTAGTTCCTTAAGATAAGAAAGTGATATTTAAAAACTAAAAGGTTAAATATTTTGTAGATAAGTTGATTAAGAGGCATATTGGAAATTTATAGTTGAAAAAAATTTATTTGCATAAAATGCATACATATAGTTAAAGAGGGCATAAAATTCTAGGAGTCTATAAGTGGCAAAGAGCTTTCCATTGATTGTTGTAACCAATGCAAGTGAAACAAACTTCTGTATGCTTATATTAAGTTATTGTTCTAAGTAAGGAGAAATGGAGAAGTAAGACGGGAAGGCCCAGCGAAACAATATTACATATGTTCAACTAAATTTTATGTACTAAGCATAAAGATATTTTAATAAATTTCATTAAAGGAAGCTATCCTCTTTTATAGGAACTTAATAGTTAAAAAAACATTATTAAAGGAAACTTAAAATCTTATTTAGACAAAATGTTAAATTTTAAGAAAGATATTTTCTTAAAAGAGTAAAACAATTAAATTACTTTTGTATATTATAATCTTATTGACAAATTAAGTTGATTTTGGTTTAAAAGATACACATAATGTAAATTTTATGTTTTTGATATATTCTTACTGAGAAATTTAGAGTAATGTGAACTGCCAATCATTTGGCTACAAACTTATATTAGTGAAAAAATAAAAATCAAAATTATAACAACGGATCTAGGAAAAAGTATGATGATATCTAATCTTAAACAACAAAAAGATGTTGAAAGTTTTTGCAATTATTAAGAAATCAAAGCTTCAATCATACTCTGAGGTTATATGATGGATCTAGCCTTACCAAAAAATAAATAAATTAATTAATAAATAAAAAGATATTAGTTAATTAATTTGGTTTTATAAGTTCAACCTGAAGTTGAAGAAATTTCATGCATGGTATGTTTAAAACGCATATCAGAAAACTTGGGAAAAGTAAATGAGCCTAAGCAAACCTAGTCTGCATATGGACAACCTTCTAAAAATTGTTATAAAAATTGATTTAAATGTAAAAGCTTAGAGAATTGGGAAAAATATCAAACGGCCCACAGGAAGTCTAAAAGAACAATTTGTGACGCTAAAAAATTTGTTTTTAATGATCTTTATAATAGATTAGATACGAAGGAGGGTGAAAAATATAAACTAGCCAAACAAAGAGAAAAGAAAAGTAAAGATTTAACTCAAGTAAAGTGTATTAAAGATGAAAATCAAAAAGTACTTTTCTTAGAAAAAGATATTCAACATAGGTGGGTGAGTTATTTTGATAAACTTTTTAATAAAGTTTTTGAAAATATGACCGACCTTAGTGATCTTAATATCGTGAATAATAATAAAACGTTTCATTTTTACTGTCACATTAGTAAAAAAGAAGTTGAGGAGGCTTTAAGGAAAACCAAGGGTGGAAAGTCTGTAGGACCTGATGATACCAATTGAAGTGTGGAAATATTTAGGAGATTTTGGTGTTTCTTAGCTTAGTAAACTCTTTAATATTATTTTAAAAACTAAAAAGATGCCTGAGGAGTGGAGGAAGAGTATTTTGGTCCCCATTTTTAAGAATAAAGGGGATGCACAAGAGTGTGCAAATTATTACGGAATTAAGCTGATGTGTCATTCTTTAAAATTATGGGAGAAGGTAATTGAACATAGGTTAAGAAGCATTATAAAGATTTCTCATAATCAATTTGGATTTATGTCGGGCAGGTCTACTATGGAAGCTATACATTTATTGAGCGGTTTGATGGAGAAGTTCAGAGATAATAAGGAGTAAAGATATGTATACTAGAGCTGTTACTTGTGTTCAAACTGAAGGAGGATTGGCCAAATATTTTCCTATTTCTGTTGGATTACATCAGGGACCGGCTTTAAGCCCATATCTTTTTGCTTTAGTTATGGATGGTCTTAATGGACATCTACAGAGGATGTACCTTGGTGTATGCTTTTTACTGTTGATATCCTTCTCGCGGATAAGACAAGAGAAAAAGCCCAGGAAAAACTTGAATTATGGAGGTCTACATTGGAGTTTAAAGGCCTTTAGTTTTAGTAGAACTAAAACTGAATACATGGAATGTAATTTTAGTAGTAGTAGCTCTAGTGACAGAAGTGTGACCTTGGGTGATCAAATTATTAAAAGGTGTGAGCGTTTTAGATTTCTTGGGTCTGTTGTTCAAAGCGATGGTGATATAGATGAGGATGTTAGTAGTAGAATTCAAGCTGGTTGGTTGAAGTGGACGAATGCTTCAGGCCTTTTGTGTGATAGAAAAGTACCGCTTAGACTGAAAGGAAAATTTTATAAGACGGTGGTGAGACCTGCAATGCTCTATGACGCTGAATTTTGGCCTTTAAAAGTGAAGCGTAATAATAAGTTAGGTGTTGCCGAGAAGAGAATGATTATGTGGATGAGTGGCTTTACACTTAGAGACAAAATGCGAAATGAATATATCCGTGATAGGGTTGGTGTAGCTCCTGTGACAGACAAACTTAAAGAAAGTCGTCTTAGATGGTTTGCTCACATTAAATGTCGACCATCTGATGATCCGATTAGGAGAGTAGATGTTTTAGATTTGACTTGTGCTAAGAAAGGCAGAGGTAGACCTAGGATGACTTTG